GACATGAATATGACAGTGGGCAAATGCATAAAGCGCAGCATAATTTGAAATCAGTCACGAGTTTAAAGTTTGTCGATCGCACATCTCCAGTGAAGCTGAACCTCCTGTCCGTATTCAATTCGCACGAACCATAGGACCGACTGTCACAGAACATGCGATCATGCAGGTCACATGCACACTTCACAAGATATCAACTAGATTCGACTAAGTCTGCAAGGTTTGTGAAATTAAATGTTCATTAGTCATTCAAAGATTTGTTTAAATTATATAAATGCGTATTCGCGGAATGCTGACATCAAACGAGAAAGTATTATAATGTTTGCCTTTAATAATATTAAAGCAATCGTTATAATACTTTTTTGTATACATTTTAATTCCTTTGTTTAACAGTTCTATCTGATTATTAGATAGACTACTATTCGTATTAGACAGAACTGAATGACAACAGCGAACAAGAGGGAGAATATGAGCACTGTGGGCTCAGGCGCTGCCGCAGCCGTTCTCGGCGCCGTCAAAATAAAAGTCCCGCCTCGAACACATCGGCCAAACAGATAAACTTATCGGCCGATGCCGATATTTGAAAAAATGGCAGATATCAGCCTATATATATCGGCCTTGGCAATACATCGGTCGACCACTACACTTCACTCAATGTACAGGTCAAGTTCAGTTAATCCAGGTGTCATTCAATGGATAGGCTGCTAAGAAAAACCTCATACAACTCACTGTTACATTAGCTTCAACATTTTTATGTATCTACGCGTGTGTGTGTGCGTGTGTGTATGTATGTGTGTGTGTGTGCGTGCGTGCGTTACCTTGTCCCACAGCTTTGTGGATCTCCTCAGTGTCAAATCTGACCTTTGACCTCCCAGTGGTGCTGAGCATTCTCTCCCAGACTAGTGTGACATCTTTCAGACACGGAGTGATCTCTTCATAGTCCAGCTTCAGTCGTCTGCACTGTAGATCACTCTCTGATGCTGTACACACATTGAATGAAAATTTAAGAAATTAGAAATAATGTGCAGAATAAAGATAATCAGTTGAGTTGGAAGAACATTTACAACATTACACCACGGTGCATTCAATTTAATTACTTACAGTCCGTTCACACAGAACGCGTTTTACATTCCACTGTGCTAATTTTCCATTGTTTTCCTATGTAAACACACTCTAAACGGACATGTTTGACCACTGCACTCACGTCTGATGTCTTTTGCATGAAACAGTGTTCAACTTCGAAAAAACCTGTCTAGAGATCTCAAATGTTTTCCCATTGCACTGGCTGCATCTGACATTTTTCTAAGCAAAAACACGTACTGTCAATGGCACCTTGCTTAACTTTTTCAACATTTATTTGTTCTGATGGGGAAAAAAAAGCTTAAGTTACATAGCCCAACACTAACAAGAAAATAAAACTGAAACATTTAAATTTTAAGAACAATATTTAAGATTAATAATATGCAGCAATAGCTGTTTTTGTTGCCATTATTAAATTATTTATAATACATATATTATTTTTATTGCCATAGTCTGAAGATTAGGCTGTTTATTCCTCTGCCAAAATGAAGAAATAAAATCGTAATTAAAAAAACAGTTTTACATATTGGTTATCGGATACAAACATATTTACTACTGTTTAAAAGTTTGGAGTTGGTAAGATTTTTAAACTTTTTTGAAAGAAGTGTCTAATGCTCACTAAGGCGGCATTTAATTTATCATAAATATAGTTACAAATATATCGTGACAGTAATATTGTGAAATATTATTAGTTTCCAATTTCTATTCTTTTTTTGTGTGATTGCAAATTTCCACAGATCCTTTAAAAATCATTCTAAAAGCTCAAAAAACATTTCATATTATCAATGATGAAAACGCTAGTGCTGTTCAATATTTGAACAGAACAATGTTTTTTTTTTCAGAATTCTTTGATTAATAGAAAAAAAATAACTGAAATAGAAATTAGGGGTGCTCCGATCAGGATTTTTGAGGCCGTTTACCGATCGCCAATCACAGAAAGCAGTATCTGCCGATACCGATATTTTTAAAGCCTTTTTATCATTTATAACTATTTATATTGATACTCCAATCAGGATTTTTAGACATTTATTCAGGGCCTGAATTTCATTTTTGAAAATGGGGGGAATTCCCCTCTTAGGTGACTCTTGTGAGAGGAGAAGCAGCTTTCACACAGGAGTCCGCTACTGAATCATGGCTGTTTACCACAAACACAACATTTATCCATTATTTTGATTTCAAATCCAAACATTGTCACTGAAAATGCTTTTTCAGCATTGCAATTCTTTTTTTACACAGTACAGTAATACAATTTTTCACAGACATGTTTAAACACAATAAATATAAGCAACACATTATTCAATGCTTTTTACTTTTGCATTTACTTCTAGATTTATATATTAAGTTGCTCAAGCAAATGGCAAAACATTTAAACTACTTTTCTTACGTTATCACAAACTTACCATTGACAGAAATAGTCAGCTCTACTGCCTTTCCTTTTGCATTGAAATCTTTATTACAAGCAATCCTGCGGTTCATAAAGAACTTTGTTTTCCTACTTCCACGAGTGCCATCTATTATTGCCTTATCTAAAAGTGTGCTTTCCCTTTAAACCTAGCCAAAAAGCCATATGTGCTGACTGTGAAACACAGTAGACTTTAATAATATGCATTTATGGTGTAATTACTACATTTTCGTGTCAATCCATGTCTATATCTACTGCAAACAATGCGCTGTTACTTTAATTCAGCGCTTGCAGCGCAGCAATAGACTCGGTG